ACAGCATCATGATAGATGATGAAGAGATTGAGATTGATAATAGTTTCAGTTTGCTTGGATGTACAATCAACACTCTTGCTACCAGCAGCCAGGAAATTAAAAGACAAATTGAATTGGGAAAGTCTGCTGTCAGAGACTCCTCCAAAGTATTGAAGAGCAACGGCGTCAGTCTGGAGACTAAGGTGCGCCTAATACAGGCCATAGTCTTTGACATTACTTGCTATGCATCAGAGAGCTGGACAATGACTAGGGATGATTGAAGGAGAATTGATACCTTTGAGCTGTAGTGCTGGAGAAGAGTTTTGAGTATACCATTTCCTGCTAAGAGAACAAACATGTTTGTCCTGGAGAGGGTGAAGCCAGGCTGCTCCTTGGAGGCAAGAATTCTAAAGCTTCGTCTGACTTAGGTCATGTTGCAAGGCAGGATCAGTCCTTGGAGAGAAACATCATGCCTGGGAGGGTGGATGGAGAACCCAGGAGAGGAAGACCCTCAATGAGATGGATTGATTGAGTGACTGGGATAAGGCAGGTAGGTGTGTGAGAGACAATAAGAATGCCACAGGATATAGCAGGGTTTGGGGCTGTTGTACTTATGGTCGCTACAAGTCGCAGGTGACTCAACGGCACATTATAACAACAACCACCTTAAAGTACACTTTTTATTAGTGTTCTTTTGAATTCTTCTTTCGTTCATTTTAGACATCAAGCTCATATATCTAAACAGAGAATACAAAGTAAGAAGTGAGTAAAATAGTCTAAATTTTAGGTTATCCAAAACAAATAATAAGTTATGTCAAAAATGGCAATTTGGCTGGTAGTTGATGTGTTGCTTTATTTTCTGGAATTACATATAATGTAATTAATTGTGTTACATTATTTTAAATTTGTTGTTATTGAGTAATGTCAAGTCTGACTCATAGCTTACACTCGGGTGGGTTTTCAGAGGCAATCAATCTTACGGGAGGAGATTGTTCATTCTTTTCCCACAAAGCAGCTGGTGGATTCAAACCGTATGACTTCATAATTGCAGCACAGATTCTAAATAGACTTGCATAGATTTCTTTTTTTTTTAAAAAAAGTGTCACTGGAGTACATTTAGAGAGCTTACATAACCTGCGCAAGATTACATATACAAAAAGTTGGGATTTGTATCCAGTCTGACTTTAGAGTCAATGCACTGCTCTGACTAAAATCTCAAAGGCATTCCTCTTTTCCAATCTCTAAATTTTCATGTGGATTAAGTAAGAAAACATGAAATCCCCTAACCTAACACTTTGCATCTAGTAGCCAATTACTAAATATCAGTTCATTTGATATAAATACATCCTAAACATTTAAATCTTGACACTGTTTTCTAATTAAAAACTCTTATTAGCTAGCAAAGTCTGTAGCTTTAGTCCCTACAGAATTTACTTTTTCTAACTAGTGACTGAGACAAGCTGATGTCATTGATTCAACATTCACATGGTTGTGGAGCCTATATAATTCAGGGAGAGCATCAGCAGTGCGGCAGCAGCCAGTCGTAGATACATTGTTTCTGTGCAGATATTTCTTCAGTGCTTAAAGACAGAATAATCCATTTTAAACCAGTTAATGCAGAACTTGTACTTTAAGAGTTCACTGCAAAGAAAATAAGATGCTTCCATGACATTTGTTTTCTTGAAAACTTTTTAAACTAGCACAGCCTCAGAAAATGGTTGATAACAGCTTTTAATACTCCACTTATTAACACAGTCTGGAAAAGTGCAACAATTATACTACTCTCATATGATATTTTCAGTTGATTGGAAACCAACTATAGAAAACCCTAGTAGTGTTACATGCTTTTATGTATTGGAAATATAATAATAGACTGTAGAGGAAAGACATTATTTTTGCAAAAATTCTAACATGGTTTCCCTCATCAGAAAACATCACCAAATATATCTAACTTCTAAGTAAAAACTGTAACTAAAACCCAAGGGAGCGTGGTGGCCTCTTACCTTCCTCTATGAAAAAGCAAGGTAATAGGGTTGATTTGTCCAACTTCAAATTAATTTTTATTTCTTCTGGAAGATTATACTCTTGATATTGAAACTACAAGACTAGCAAATTCTGTTTCCTTTGAATGTGCTAAAAATATAAAAAGGCAGCCAGAGGTAAGTTTCATGCACTTAGTTTTAATGTTTTTTGCTCTTAATTGGTTTTTCTTATGTTTCTGAAATGTATGCAATAGACACTTCATTTTCTTTATATATACTATATTCATATATAAACCAACAGAAATTTCTGTTCCAGTGGGGTATATATCCTTTTTCAAAGTATTTTTCTGTAACTCTACCCATGTAAAGTAGTGAGCAATAATGAGAAAGTTTTGTCTAAACTATTTATCCTGAGATAAGGGCAAGAAACCCTGGTGGAGCAGTTCTTAAGCACTAAACTATTAATGAAAATGTTTGCAATTCAAACCCAAAAGTCACTCCATTGGAGAAATATGCAGATGTATGCCTGGCAAATAGGACATTCTACTCTGTCCTATAGAGTTTACTATTGTTCTACCTTATCTTATACTGTTACTATGATTTCCAGCAGTGTTACTATGAGTTGGAATATACTTAACAGCGAAGAATTTGGGTTTGGGCTTAGGTATGATGAAAGAACAGAAATTTCTATCTCAGACTTCCTTCTGATCATGCACACCCTTCTAGCCTGTGTGGATGGGCAATCTCCTCCTGTGTGATTTTAAGCTAGGAGTCCCTGCCAATTTATCCTCAATGAATGTGTAAATTTTGTCTTCAGCTGAGGGATGGAGGAAAGGCAAGCCTTCCTTCACTTTCTCCATAGTTCCTAAGGTTACCAGTTTTATCCAGCTTTTTCTAAAAATATTGTTCAAAAAAAATTATCACAGTCACATTGCAGGCTGTCTAACAGTTTAATGAAAAGTTCCTGTCTCCTGAAGGCTATTTTATTGAAATTACAGTTTTGAGATAGCTTGGCAGAATCAACATGGGAGTAAATAGTTTAGGTTTTAAAAAGTATAGTCAATAGGACAATAAATATAACTGTGTTCAAGGCCCATATATATGTCCTTGGACAAACCATTTAGCTGGTGAGGAGAGAGACTTTAATTTCTTCACTCATAAATATCTGTAACCTAAATCTAAACACTGAATGCTTACAACATTAAGGGATAAATTATTATAATGGTCTCTCTCTCTCTCATTAGTCAAGATTGTCTTATAACCTAGTAAATCAAAATTCTCTCCCTATTAATCTAAAAGTATGTTTACACCCTACTGTGCGTCTAGCTCTGGTGATGTGTTCCACAGAGAGTTCCGCAGCTAACTGAAAGGCAGCACCTATCTTGCTGTTCAAATCTATGAGTAGCTTTGATGAAAAAAGAAGGAGAATCTCCTTCCATGCAATTTACAGTCTTGAAAGCTTAATGGAAGGTCAGTGGTAAATTGTTTCTGGCTTGACAGTAATGCATTTGAGATGTGTCTAGCAAGATTTAAAATGCTGAATAGAGATTTTCAAAAGATATATAAGGTATTTGATCTTGAAGAAGAGAACAGTTACAAATATTAAGGAAATTGTTGCTGTTGTTAGTGTTGTTGTTAGGTGCTATCAAATTAGTTCCAACTCATACTGTCCCTGTGTGCAACAGAACAAAATACTGCCCTATCTGTCCTGTTCCATCATTGTAATAACTGCTGGGCTTGGACCTATTTTTGTAGCTCATTAAGAAACTAAGCGGTCATAATATCATTTTTATTACTTCTGTTCCTCTTAGTTCATTGCATAGTGCGTGAGCTCTTAAAACTCGCCAGTGATCATCCAATGTGTGACAGTTACAGTCTATTATCCAGTAACAATAGAGGGAAATGAGCAGTTAGGAATAGGGAGAAGAAATTTAATGTGTGACTAATTGCCTCTGCAAAATGTGTACAGTATGTATATGGTGTGCCTGGCTACCGTTATTGAATGTTCTCATGAAAGACAAAACATACTTTAATTCTGACCAAATGGAGTAACAGGATTTCAAATCTTCTTGGACTCTAGATTTTCTGTAACCATGGAGGCTGAAAGAATCCCTGAAACCAATGCCTTTATTAAAGTTTAAAACAAAAATATCCGCTGAAATATTATTCAAAACCAAACAAGTCTGGTTCTTAAATAACTAATTTAGAGAAACTTCATCTCACATATTTGGGGTATGTTGTTAAAAGGGACCAGTCTGTGGAAAGAGATATACATAGTGCTTGGAAAGGTGAAGGTCAGCGAAAGAGAAGACCCTTAACCAGATGGATTGACATAATGACACTAACAATGAGCTCAAGTGACAATGGGCAGAGAAAATGAGGATGGTACAGGCTAGGGCAAGGTTCATGTCTGTTGTTCATAGGGTGACTACGAGTTGTAGTCAATGTGACAGCACCTAACAACTACAAGCAAAGAATGTTCACCTTAAGCATTGTTCTTTCTTTAAAACTGTATGAAATCAAAAGGAAGCTGATGGCACAGTAGTTAAGTGTTTGCTAACAGAAAGGTTAGTAATTCAAAGCAACCAGTCACTCCATGGGAGAAGGATGCCACAGTTTGTGTCCATTTTAGCCTTGGAAACATCATGAGGTTTCTACTCTGTTGTATAGGTTTACACAGAGTCACTACGAATTGGAATGTATTTGGCAGCAATGGCTTTGAAGTTCCTGGGCTCAAAATGAAGAATAGCAACTCAAAATATTAGACGTGGTACACTGAGTTTAGATTAATGGAGAGAAATAATTCAGAAAAAAGACAATGAGAATGATTACACAACTTGGAGAATATAATCAATGTCACTGAATAGTATGTATAGAAATTATTTAATTAGTTAGTATTCTGTTTTATAAACTCTCAACAACTACAAAAAAAACAAAAATATAAGACATTTTTAATAAATATAAACATTTCTATAGATGTCAAATATTAGGGGTTTTTTGTTTTTTCTATTTCTTGACAGGAATATCAAAAAAAAGAGAATGGAAGAGGCTCTCCAGCTGAACCAAACTTCGTTCGTGACACATTTTCACCTTAGAGGTTTATCTGTGAATCAGAATGTGCAGATGTCTGTGTTTGCCATATTCCTCATTTTCTATGCCCTGACACTGATTGGGAACATCCTCATTGTCATAACTATTATCTATGACCACCGGCTCCACACTCCCATGTATTTCTTTCTTAGTAACCTATCTTTTATTGATGTCTGCCACTCCACTGTTACTGTCCCCAAGATGCTGGTGGACACCTGGTCAGAAGAGAAACTCATCCCTTTTGGTGCCTGTGTGACCCAGATGTTCTTCTTGCATCTCTTTGCCTGCACAGAAATCTTTCTTCTCACTGTCATGGCCTATGATAGGTATGTGGCTATTTGCAAGCCCTTGCAATACATGACAGTGATGAACTGGAAGGTGTGTGTGCTATTGGCTGCGGCCCTCTGGTCAGGGGGGACTATCCATTCCATAGCCCTGACTTCCCTCACCATCAAGCTTCCATACTGTGGTCCTGATGAGATTGATAACTTCTTCTGCGATGTCCCACAAGTCATCAAACTAGCCTGCACAGATACCCACATCATTGAGATTCTCATTGTCTCCAACAGCGGGCTGATCTCCGTGGTCTGTTTTGTGGTCCTTGTAGTGTCTTATGCAGTCATCCTGGTGAGTCTGAGACAGCGGATCTCTGCAGGCGGGCGGAAGGCCCTCTCCACCTGTGCAGCCCATCTCACCGTTGTCACACTGTTTCTGGGACACTGCATCTTCATCTATTCCCGTCCGTCCACCAGCCTCCCAGAGGACAAAGTGGTGTCAGTGTTTTTCACTGCAGTCACCCCCCTGCTGAACCCCATCATCTATACTCTTAGGAATGAAGACATGAAAAATGCCTTGAACAAGCTAATGGGGAAGAAGGAAGGAAAGGAAGAAAAATGAAAATGGCTAATCCCTTAACATCAAAATCAAAGAAAATGTTTCAAATCAATGCCTTGCAATGATAAATTACACACCATATTTAGCAGACTACATGGCTCATAAAATCATCTTCTGACCCAATATCTGATAATCATAGCAATGGCTCTGATTTTTCAGCATCATCAATATGCTGGAAATTGTTCTTGGAACTTTGCATCTTTTCATTTCTCAGAATAATAATTTAAGGTGAGGAAGACATTACTACTTTCATTTACAAATAGGAAATTAAAGTTCAAAGAGAGCAAAAAGTATGGTTGAGGTCATCCAACCAGGAAATTAAAAAGGCAGGATGTTAGCTTATATATATCTGTACAAGCTCACTTTATTATTATACCATGCTGCCTTATCCTGGTTGGTTGGGTTTTTTTAACAGACTTTGGATTTCCATTCATACATTGTTGCACACTTTCCTGCCTACCCATTCCTCCCCCCAGGTGACTTTTCTCTTTAAAGACAAAAAAAAAATCTTTCATTGTTATACAATCCCCCTCTCCCCTCCCAAGTCCACTTTACTATCCTGCTTTTTTGTGTTAGATTTGTGTTAGACTTTAGTCTAAAGAAAGCTTTAGGTTTCTAGGCAGTCCTTAACTATGTTGTTCATTCAGATACTTTAAAGAGCTTGGTAAACATTGGTAAATCAGCTAAGGCAATGACTCAAAAAGAAGACTTCAAGCTATTCAAGTTATTAATACCCTTAAATATCCAGGCAAAAGTTTCCTATCAGGGCAACAATGTGGTGGTATTTCTTTGGTCATTTTCTACAAATATATCCTAGGTACTAGCTTTATAGATATAAATATAGAATCCATACAGTCCCTCTTTCATAAAGTTTAGAGTCTAATGAAGAAATAGGAAATAATACAAATATAAGCAAATAAATTATAATTATAGATTGTGGAAAATACATTATTAAATGTGATCATTTTGTTCTAGATTGTGATAAATACAACAGGGAAGGGTGCTGCTAGACAGTTAAGGAAGAACTTTCTGATTGATTGGTAAAGGAGGGACTGTGAAGAAATGACATTTAAACTAAGATACAAAAGATTAAAAGACTCCAGCTGTGAGGAAAGAAAAGTAATGTGAACGTAGTCTAGGCGGAGGAAACAGCAGGCACAAAGATTTATGTTGGGCTTATTCCAGGATATGCTATATCAGTATGGCTGCTGCTTGGACTATAACGCAGAGAGTGGTGAGAAATAAAAAGAAACTTTTAAAGCTCTCATAAGAATAAAGTGCAGCCAGAGTGTTCCTTCAAAACAAGGATGGTGAAGTTTCACATCACAAACTCTGGGCATGTTGTTAGAAGGGGCCAGTCCTTGGAAAAGGACATTAAGACCTTCAATGAGCTGGGGCTGTAGTATAACAAGGATTATATATAACAAGGATTATAAGGACGACACAGGATAGGGCAAGATTCAGACTTGTTGTTCATAGATTAGCTATGAATTGAAGTTGACTTGATTGCACCTAAAAACAAAAAATAAAACAAACAAAAAAAAAGTTTAGACTTTTTTGTACAGGAGGAAGCCATCAGGAAGGTTTAAACATGCAAGAGACATGGTACAGTTTTTGTTTAAATTAAATTATTCCAATTATTATGCATATAATTCATTCTTTGGTAAACATTTAACTATTCATCCAGGATTCCATTAAGAACTGGAGAAAGATACCAAGTGGAATAAAAGGTAGACTATAATTTAGGCTCTTAAATCTAGTTATATTGCCTTACACTTGTATTGTGATAAATATTCTAAAGACAGTGTGTGCTGAGGAAACTGGGAAGAGAGGAGATGTGAATTGGATACTCCAGGCATAGGTAGTTCATATACGTACATGCAAACAAAAGAGTATATGGTATAATGGGAATAAACAACTTAGTCTCTTCTGGCCTTTAATAAGAAGGCCGTGATTAAATGCAGCTACAATTGCCTAAGCAAATAGCCAGGGTGTGATAAATACATCTATTTTCTATTTTCCAAGTGTCTAATATCTAAAAATATGTAAAACTTGTTTTAACCTCAACTTTATAAAGTAACTGCTAGATACTGACAATATGTTACATTTGCTTGTCAGTTTGAAAATAATGGTGTTATAACTCCTTATGAACATCTCTCATCTTATAAACTTCTTTTTGTACTTTTGAGCAGTTTCTGTCATTTCAATCATGTCTCACCCTTGGCCAAAGTTATGGAGTCACTCACTTTGTGTTGTGTACCTGTAATGTGTGTGGCTGCATATACGATATCTAATTCTCCAGAAAATTTTTTTTCTTTTTTTCTTTTTTTTTTTTACAGAGGTTTTGGATTTCCATTCATTCATTGCCGCAATTTTCTCCCTTCCCACCCCTCCCGACCAGCTCGCTTCCCCCTCTGAAGAGAGGGGGAGAAAAAAGAAAAAGAAAAAAAATTCCTTCATTAGTATACAATTCCCACATCCCTTCCCCCCACCCCCCATCCTGAGTACACTTCTCTATGCAACCTTAATTCTGGATTCCTGTGCTAACCATAATACTCAATCATATATCACTTATAATCTGTTCTTTCCCTCATCTGTT